TTCTGAGGGGGGCGGGAAGTGGGTGGGGCAGGGGCGGGGCTAGGCAGGACAGGGGCGGGGCTAGGGCGGGGCTCCTCCCATCCTCTTTTTTGCTTGCTGAAATATGGTAACCCTAGGTAACACTACAGTTGACAGTGTTTGCACCACATGGGGGTAATACTTCAGCTTACAATGTAACATGATTTGTACAGGGTAACATTGCAGTATATAATGTAATGGCCTGCACAGTGTGTGACACGATTGCATTGCATAGGATAACGCTACACCTTATAGCGTAATTGCACCATGCATGGGGTATCAGTGCAGTGTACAGCGTAAAAGGATTTGCATCCCATGTAGTAACACTGCAGCTGACAGCATAGTGGGGTTCGGGCCCCACGCAGTGACCCGCAGCTTACAAAGTAAGCTGGTTTCCTGCTACAAACGTGCTCCTTCCCGTGGATTGGCCAGTGTGCAGAGCGGGGTCATTTTACCCCCACGCACGCCCCACAGCTCTTGCAAGGCTCTTGCTCCCGGGTCCGAACGATCCCACGCAACGCGGTGCGGAGCAGAGGCCTTATTGGAAATCCTGGGAGGTGGGCGGGCGCACACAGCCTCCAGGGCTCGAGTACAGGGTCTGTTGCTGGGCAACAGGAGAGGGTTCCGTTGCTGGGTAACGAAGGGCGCGGTCTGCGCGGGGTCACGTCACCAGCGTGCGCCTGGTGGTGCCGCGGGGCGGAGCTTAGAGCTGGCGGTTGGCGCGGCGGAGGCGGCCGGGCCCTGCCGAGCAGCTTCGGGTGCGCTGCTGCCGCCCCCCCTCCTGTGGCTCCCCGCAGCTGTTCCGTCTAGCGGGATCGGGCCCCGCTCCAGCGTCCGCGCGCAGGGGTCCCCTCAGCCGCGCCGCCCGGCCCGGGGGCCGCCGTGACTCTCCCGGGCGCCCCCAGTGCTGGGTAAGCCCCGGCCAGGCGCCCGGGAGCTGCGCCCCTCCCGCGCCGCCATGGCCCCCAAGGACATCATGACCAACTCCCACGCCAAGTCCATCCTGAACGCCATGAACGCCCTGCGGAAGAGCAGTACGCTCTGCGACGTGACTCTGCGCGTGGAGCAGAAAGACTTCGCCGCTCACCGCATTGTGCTGGCGGCCTGCAGCGACTACTTCTGCGCCATGTTCACTAGCGAGGTAGGGTGGGAGCAGCTCGCTGCGCCCAGCGCTGGCAGGTGTCTTGACCAGCGCGCTCTCGTGCCGAGCCCCAGGATGGCTGTGTAGGGTTTTTGTCAAACTCCTGAGGGCTCAAAGCTTTTGCTGAGAGCATTCCCCGGTGCACTGCCATGGGTGGCTCTTAGGCCCTCTTGTCCCGAGTGCAGCCAGAGACAGTTCTTGTCCCTAAGAGCTTACAGCCTGTCATAGATAAGACTGAGAAATGGTTGGGAGGGGAGAGGTACAGACAAGAGAGGGAATTGGTTCAAGGTCATACAACAGGTCAGTGGCAGAACCATAGCCCTGAGCTCCAGGTCTAGTGCCCTATCCACTGGACCAGGCTCTTCTTCATAATATTTGATAATGATTTACACTAATTGCACATTCTTTCTTTGCAAAATGCGGAAAGGCAATAATGTTTGGCTGAGCTGCAGTTCACTGTTTGGTTCAGGTTGTTAAATAGGAGGTGCTGTCTGTGGCTTTGATTCAAACTTAATGCTGTAGCAAATAGAAAAAAAAACATGAAGGGGGCAGTAAGGGATTGTGGAACTGAGTTTGTAAAAGATACATTTCTGTTGTCTCTTCTTATCAGAGAAGAGAAGCCTTTCTAGTAGCCTCCGAGTTGGTATGGAGAGAACATGCTGAAGCAAACTGAGATTCTGTCTCCCTACAATGCCTGTAGCCCTTTCTGGAGATACCATTTCTCCCCAGATCTTAGCAAAAGATGTAAATAGATATATGCCTTTACCTTATGTTTCCTCATTTTCACAATTTTCAATTTTGCCTTGTTGTTCTTCAGCAACCTTAGCTGGCTTTTATGCAGTGTTTGTGTAGATGAATATGTGATTTTAAAAAAAACTGGAGTGAACTTATTGCTGGTAAATATGCAGGATTCGCTTTTCTGGAGATTGAAGCTCTCTATCCAACAGTAGTCACAACATGGGCAGCAAGCAATACAAACTTCCGCATACACCAGCCACTAACTCCCTCTCAGTGAAATTTAGCCCTTTTCCGAGGAAGCACACCTAGCAGTAGCACAGTCCGTCCTTGGGACCTCTGCTGAGACTGCCAATAAGGGCCAATGGCAGCAGTGATTAGTGTGCATTAGGAACTAGGCTGAAACCATTTCTCCATGACCCCCACAACACACCTTTCAAGATCCATGGGTCCTACACATGCCTATCACAACATGTGGTATACCTCATCCAGCATATTAAGGGTATGTCTACACTGCAGTTAAAAACCCACGGCTGGCCTGTGCCAGCTGATTTGAGCTCATGGGCCTTGGGCTAAGGGGCTGTTTAATTGCAGTGTAAATGTTTAGGCTGGAGCCCGGCCTCTAGAACCTTGTAAGGCTGAAACCCATGCTGGACCATCTACACTGTAGTAAAACAGCACCTTAGCCTGAGGCCCACGAGCCCAAGTCAGCTGGTACTGGCCAGCTGCAAGTGTCTAATTACTGTGAAGACATATCCTAAATACCCCAATAACTATGTGGGTGAAATGAAACAATCACTCTCAAATGAACTCTTACAGGGCAGGTCTACACTTAAAATGCTGCACCGGTGCAGTTGCGCCGCTGTAGCAGTTAAGTGGAGACATTTCTATGCTGACAGGAGAGCTGCTCCCATCGGTGTAGTTAATCCACCTCTGCAAGGTGGAAGCTATGTTGATGGGAGAAACTCTCCTGCCGACATAGCGCTGCCTACATCAGGGGTTAAGTCAGTATAACTACGTTGCTCATGGTGTGTGGATTTTTCATAGTTATACCAATATAAATTTGTAGTGTAGACCTGGCCACAGAAAAATGAGAATACAAAAACACCATATTACTCATGGGTGGACACTTCACAAAATGATCATTCCATACCTGACCTCTCAGAAGAAACCTGCACAACATCTTCAAAAGATGAGCCTGGGAGCTTACATTCATAATTTTGTTAGATAGTAAAAATCATGAACTCAATAAAGACGTTGTAATGAGCTTTAAATCCAATCTGTAATCCACTAACCTTCTTTTGTCCTACCACTGCGAGGTGTTAACTGTTCACTTCACCTTGAATGGTCTCTTGTAACATGTTAACTCCTTTCCTTAACAATATGTTCCATTTTGTCTTAAGCTGTGGCACTCTGAGTACCTTTTCCAGACCGAAGAAGAGCTCTGTGTAAGCTTGAAAGCTTATTTCCTTTCACCGACAGAATTTGGTCCAATAAAAGATACTAGCTCACCCACCTTTGTCTCTAATATCCAAATTTAGAATCACAGGCCATGCTTCTGTCTAGTTTCCTTCTTCTCCCTGACTTTAATATTTACTTTAAACATTTTAAATACCTGTTTTTATGTTAATTTTTCTCCCTTTCTGCTTTACAGGAGGAGGAGAAGCCACTGATCAACTGTTGAATCCCTGGCTGTTGACAGCACTTTTTCGCTGTCTCTGTGCTGAGTGGAGTGGGGAAGCTAAAACAACCCTTCAGTTTTAACTTCAGAGTTGTTCCTCATTGTGAAAACTGAGGGGCAGTTTCAGCATGTATGTACCTCTACTTCCTGGTTTTGCACTGGGACTTCTGTCTCTGAGGAGTCTATTGCAACATCCAAGGATGCTCTAAGAGCTGATCACTGGCTCCGATCCTGAAAAGCCCGGATGGTTTCAATGATTAGCAAAAGTCCTCTCTAGAAACTGTTTTGTCTGGTATAAACAACACATAGAAACATCCTTCTCATTTTGAAAATAAATTACTTTTGAATCTGTTCAGATTTTTATATGGGCATCATCACTGTAGTATGAGCACTTTCCAATAGTGCATTAAGCCACAGGACTAGCATTTGTCATGTTTCTTTTTTCTCTCCAAGATGAAATTCTAGTTTTTTGTTTGGGTTTTTTTAATCATTTAATGTGTCCTGTGTGTCTATATCAGCAAAGGCAAGGTGGAAGAAAGCCTTGCAGTCAGAGCAGAAGGCGGTGATGCTTGTGGTTCGATGATCTTGGGCTTGCCTTAAGAAAGCTCTGTCTCCTGTACAGGATGAGCAGTACCCCTGGGGGAGAGCAGCATTGTGCCTGAGAAATGGAGCTGCCTGCAGTCCTAGTCTAGGAGCTTTAAGTGATCTTTTAGGTATCCTAGGCGCAAACCATTGATGTTGCTAAAGGCTTATAACTCCGTGAACCTTTTCTAATACCCGGTAGCACTAAACCATATTGAGATGTGCTTTCCTAGACCTTCCTAATGCATTCAGGAAAGCAGGGGTTTTTGGTTTATTGCCTGAATTAGGATAGTAAAAATTCTAATCTTGGTCCCTTGTCACCCTAATTGGTGCTGGATGAGCAGAATTAAGCGAATGCACTTGATAGTAAATATGAGGTAAATGATCTTAAATATTTCCAAGATAAGAGCTACATTAGGTCATTTAACAGCACTACATTTATACTAAAGAGAAACTTACCAAATCTCATTCCATTCTCTTAGCAATTGTCTGAATATCATTTGCAGTGCTCTTGTGTGTAGACAATAACTGAATCCAGTATGTGTTCAGTATAATGTGTTCAATATTATTAGGTTCGTTCTTGGTCATTTTAAATGGTGATAATGGAAAAATGATGGTAAGGTCCCCTCAGATACCCAGTCTAATTTCAAACTACCTATAGATTAATTAATGGAGATGAGACTTTCATCCTAGATGCATGCACTCTGATTTCATAGCACTGTTTGCTGCTTGGGCTGGTGAATGGAGGCTAAGGCAGAACATTCTCAAGAAATAAATGATTCCAAAATATACAGATTTATAAAGCAAGGTCAGCTTCTCACACTGAATGTCTTAAGGGTCTTCATTCAACAGGGCATTGAGGCAGAAGGAATCGCGGTGATGCAGTGGCTTATAATCTCTCTTATGGAAGGTCATTTACAAGCAAGCTAAATGTTTTTGTGGTATTGAAAGAGCCAAAATGAAGCAGAGTTTGGATGTCCTTGAATAAAAATCCCACCTGATAACCACATAGACAGGCGGTATAGTTCATGCAGATTGTAGGTGCTGTTCTTGATATCTGGGCATTGAATTACTCATAGAATCATAGAATATCAGAGTTGGAAGGGACCTCAAGAGGTCATCTAGTCCAACCCCCTGCTCAAAGCAGGACCAATTCCCAGCTAAATCAGCCCAGCCAGGGCTTTGTCAAGCTGGGCCTTAAAAACCTCCAAGGAAGGAGACTCCACCACCTCCCTAGGTAACGCATTCCAGTGTTTCACCACCCTCCTAGTGAAATAGTTTTTCCTGATATCCAACCTGGACCTCCTCCACTGCAACTTGAGACCATTGCTCTTTGTTCTGTCATCTGCCACCACTGAGAACAGCTGAGCTCCATCCTCTTTGGAACCCCCCTTCCAGGTAATTGAAGGCTGCTGTCAAATCCCCCCTCATTCTTCTCTTCTGGAGACCAAA